AGTCCTGAAAAGAGATCTGTCTTCTGTGGGAAAAGACCATGGACATGTGACTGCTTAGAGAAAGGAGCTTCTGAGTGGCAGACTTTAGGACACTGAAGAAAGAGGGGAAATCAAGTTTAACCTTAAAAAGATAAGACTTCTCTTCCCTCCAACTCCAGAGAGACTTTTGCAAGGGTAAGTGAGGAAAGGGGTGACAGAGGGAGGGGTGAAATTGGGTTTAGGACATGCCCTGTCCAGTCTCAGCCTTCCCCACGGCCTAGGAAGGCTTGGAGCACTCTGGCCTATATATTAAAAGGTACCATTTCCCCTGGTCTCACCTGAACTGGGATCTCCTGAGCCTTCTTTCTCTGTTATCCATGGCTCTTCTCCTTTCTCCAACAGGGAAATCACACTAGGTTTGGAAAGTTGATATCCTGCTTATGGAGTTAAAAAAGAACATGAATCCTTATGTTTCAGTCTAAGAACCATCCCCAGAATTTAGTTCCAGTCCTCTGGTATTCAGGGTCTCTGAAATGGAAAGGGCAACACAGCATGTCTCTCTATTCTAGCTCTACAAAGTAAAACTGTTCCCCAAGGAAGGAGAATCAGCTATGCCCCGGCTTGATCGTCAATGGAATGAGACATCTCTAATATAGAACCCAAAGCCAAGCTCCAGGGAATCCACAACACTTAATGATGTAGAAATAATGACTCTTCTATAATGGGCAGGTTTCTGGATGTATGTTTCACCCATCCTTACCCACTGAGACCAGATTCCCATAGTTCTCCAGCATCACCTCCCGGTACAGATTCCGGTGACCAGGGGCCAGCTGCCCCCACTCCTCTTGGGTGAAGTCCACAGATATGTCCTTGAAGGTCAACAATTCCTAGAACATCAAATATGATCCTTTTCAGCTGGAGACCACCTCCATCAAGGTCCAAGGAGTTCTGACGGTATTCTAAGTTCTGGGAGATGCTAAACCAGTTTTACTGGGAGCCTCCTCTGGATCTGTTTGGAGATTACTATCAATAATTAAATAAGTAGAAGGACAGATGGTCATAAGCGCCTTAGAAAAAAATTAAGCAGGATAAGGGGAAGGGAGAGTCATAGTGAGGGGAAGGATGATCTTTTATGTAGGGTAGCTGGGAAGACCTCTCTAAAAGGGGTCCAGAGATATGAATTCAGTGAGGGAGAGTCATATGGAAATGTGAGGGGAGAGTGTTCCAGGCAGGTACAAAGGACCTAAGGTGAGAGCATCCTTGGCTTGTCTGGGGAACAGGAAGGCCTGAGGCAGGTTAATGAAGCGGAGAGTGGAAGAAAATGAGATCAGAGAGGTTGGGGCAGGAGAGAGAGAGAGATTTTTAACATTTATTGTATGTATTATAGAATTACAAGACCATTGCATCCTTGCTGAGCTTAAATTCTGGGGCCCTGCTGGAGTTTAATGCAAAGATGAACAAAACTGCCTGGAACTAACCCCTTCCTGGCTCAGATACTGAAAAGATAAAAAAGGTCAGCTCCTCGGCAGTGGTGGCATGGGGCACTGTTACCTGGGTTAATCCCAGAAGTAAAGGGAATCATATTAAAGCTGTATTTTACCCAGAGCTCAGCCCCAGCTCTAGGAAGAATACGAGTAATCAGACTTTCACCTGAACCACCAAACAGAGGAAAGGGCTTAGAGTGTCTAGGAAATAAACAGAACAAAACAATGTATATATATATCTATATATATATACACACTTCATCCTCCACTGTTCTTTTATACACAATATTGGAACTATGCTAAAAAAATATTACACATGTGAAGAAGGAAGAAAATCTGACCTGTAATCAAGAAAATAAAAATCCACAGAAGCCGATCTACAGGTGACCAAATCTTTGGAATTAGCAGACAAGAAATTTAAAGTAACTATTAAAATAGGTTAAATAATTTACAATGAAATATGGAGAGAATAGGTGAAGACATGGGGAATTGAGGAGAGAAAGAACTAAATAAAAATTCTACAATTGAAAAACACAATATCTGAAAGATCCATTGGATGGGCTTCACGGTAGATTGGACTCTGATGAAGACAAAATCAGTGGAACTTGAGGCCAGTCCATAGATATTATTCAAACTGAAGCAGAAAGAGAAAAAAAACCTGAGATAATATCAAATAGTCTAATATACATGTAATTAGAATCTTAGAAGGAGATGAGAGAATGGCCAGAAAAAATTTTCGAAGAAATAAAGGCTGAAAAACTTCCAAATTTGATGGAAAAAAACTCAACCCACAGATCCAAGAAGCTCAGAAAACCCCAAAAAGAATAAATTCAAAGAAAACCACACAACGCACATCATAGTAAAAATGCTGAAGAGCAAAGATAAAAGGGAAGATCATAAAAGTAGTCAAAAGAAGATAGGAAAGGACAAACAAAAAAACCAAGAAAGAATAGTTGGTAGTAAAAAAAAAAAAACCAAGCAGACACATCACACGTAAGGAAAGAGTAAGAACAGCAGCTGACTTATCCAAAATAACATGAGTTAAAAGATAATGGACCATCTTTAAAGTGCTTAAAAGAACAAGTGGGGTCAACCTAGAATTCCATATGCGGTAAAAGATTCTCCGTTAGGAATAGAATCTAGAGACATCTGTAGATCCACAAAAGCTGTGAGAATCTAACATCAGAACACTGACACTACAAGAAATGATAAACGACCTTGTTAAGCTGAAGGGAAATGATACCAGATAGAACGTGGAACTAAAGGAAAAGTGCCTGAATTGGCAAATAGTTGGGCAAATATGAAACACTCATTTTTTTCCTTCTCTTAATTTTTTTTTTTTTGAGGAAGATTAGCCCTGAGCTAACATCTGCTGCCAATCCTCCTCTTTTTGCTGAGGAAGACTGGCCCTGAGCTAACATCCGTGCCCATTTTCCTCTGCTTTATATGTGGGACGCCTACCACAGTGTGGCTTTTGCCAAGGGCACCATGTCCACACCCGGGATCCGAACCGGCGAACCCCAGGCCACCGAAGCGGAACGTGTGCACTTAACCACTGCACCACCGGGCCAGCCCCTCCTTCTCTTAATTTTTTTATGAAACAATTTACTGTTAAAAGCAAAAATAAAAACAATGTATTGTGGGGTTTATAACATGCAAAGTGAAATGTATGATCGCAATACACAAGGACAGGAAAGAGTGAATGGAAATATAAGGAATTCATATATATGTGAAACAGTATGATAATTCAACTGTGATATGTCAAAAATGCCTATGTTAATGGCTAGGGAAACCACTAAAAACAAATCAAGGAAGTATAGCTAAAAAGTCCTTAGAGGACATAAAACGGAATACTAAAAAACTACGCAATCCAAAAGAAGGCAGAGGAGGAGGAATGAAGAATAGATGGGACAAACAGCAAACGAGAACAAGAATATACGCTTAAATCCCACCCTATCAACGATCATGTTAACTGTTACTGTTTGTTGTATCCCCTTACACGGACAAAACATGTTAGGACTAAACATGTTTGTTTAGTCCATTTACCTGGGCTAAACAAGCAAGACCCAGCTATGTTTAAGAAGGTCACACTTTAAATCTAAAGATGCAGATAGGTAAAAGCAAAAGAATGAAAAAGGCTATATCATACAAGCAATAACGAAGAGAACACTGGAGGAGCAATATTAAATCAGACAAAGAAGACTTAGGAAAAGCAGCATTACTAGGCATAAAGAGAGACATTTCATTACGATAAAGGTCAGTTCATCAAGAAGACAACAACCCTATGCATTTATGCATCTGATAACAGAGCTTTACAACAAATAAAACAGAACTGACAGAACTACCGAGAGATACAGACAAAACCACAATGATTTAGACATTTTAACATTCCTCTCTCAGTAACTGATACAACATGTAGACAAAAACTCATCAAGGATATAGATCTGAACAACCTATCGACCAACCTGACCTAATTGACATTTAAAGAACAATATACCTTACAACTGCAGAATATACATTTTTTTAACTAAACATTTTATTTTGCGATAATTGTAGATTTACATGAAGTTGTAAGAAATAACAGAGCTCCTAGGTACTCTCTACTGGGGGTGAAGCAGAGTTTTAATTGGAAAGGGGCCTGAGGGAACTTTCCGAGATGGTGGAAATATTCCATGACTTGATTTGGGTACCTGGGGTAAACAGATGTCAAAATAGAACTGCATACATTCTTAAGTGTATTTTCCTATATGCAAATTATACCTTAATTTAAAAAAATTTAATCTTTTCCCAGTGCTAAGAATCCCATTACTTTTTGATAAATGCCAGGAAAGTGAGAAATTCCAGGTAAGTGGAATGCAGAAACAAGGTAACTCTTTAAATAATGAGACCATTATTATTTCTTCCATATTACTATAAATAACTCTGGAATGCATTTCAATCCTAGAAGGCATTAGCATCTGAATTAGCTGAGGAAACCAAGATTGTAAATGGCTAAAAAAATTGCCCCAGATCACCAAGCAAGTAAACAAAAGAGAGAATTGAAATCGTGTACTGTCTAATTTCAGAACCCAAGTTCTTTTGATTTAAAACTCTTCTGTCCTCGAATAACGTCTCCTCTTTAATAAGAGTCTTTCTTTCTCATTTACTCTACAATTTTCCTTCTATTTCACTTCTGCTTCCACCAGGCAGTGAGGACACCATTTTCAAAAGTGTGTTGTACCCGCCTCGCCTGTCTAACGCGTGCGCCATGTGGCCTGCCCAATTCTTCTCCACTCACTTCTCTGTTGGTTGCAGTATGACTTCTGCTCCCAATACCACACTAAGGGGCACCTCAAGAAGTTCACCAGTGATCTGTGTACATCACTAAGAATGTCAGAACTTCCTTCTCATTTACAAAGTTTGCTTTTGAGTAAAAAATACTCCCCCAAATTGAAGTTTATCTTTGATCCCCAATGTATCTGTTGGTTTTGAGGGGTTAGAATTCTATCACTCAGTTTATTTTCTCTACAGAAATTGGCACAATGTTAGATGCAGATGTTGGTCAGAAACAAGAGTTACAACAACTGGAATGATACAGAGAAGGTTAGCACGGCACCTGGCCTAAGGATGACATGCAGATCTGTGAAGCATTCCATATTTTTGATAATGTTATATGTCACTTTTATCTCAATTAAAAAAAAAAGAAAGAAACAAGAGTTACACAGAGGGAGGCCACGTGAGTAGGGAAATTGCCACCACTGTGGCTCGCTTTTCTGTATGAGAACATCTTGCACTGAGCTCCCTAGGTTGAATTTGTTAGGCTCAACACCCTCTTCTTCTTCAAAAAAGGCAAGTTATAGCCTTAAAAACCAAGAAGCGGGGCCTGGCCCCGTGGCCAAGTGGTTAGGTTTGTGCACTCTGCTTCAGTGGTCCAGGGTTTCACTGGTTCGGATCCTGGGCACAGACCTAGCACCACTCGTCAAGCCATGGCGTCCCACATGCCACAACTACAAGGACCCACAACTAAAAGAATCACACAACTATGTACCAGGGGCCTTTGGGGAGAAGAAGGAAAAATAAAAATCTTTTAAAAAACAAAACCAAGAAGCATGTCAAGAAAATGAGAGGGAACTCCAACCCACCTGGGATTTTGCTGTCAGGGGCCCAGAGGTCACTTCATCCTTTAAACTTTCTCCCTGGGTCTCATCAGCATCTGGAGACAGCAGAGCTGGGGAAGGAGAAGAGCCATGAGGTTTGCATCTCGCCAAAACCCCCAAACAGAAAAAGTGTCCTGCTTTTCTATTTCTATGCAGGTCTGTTCAAGAGACTTGCTGAACGTGGCTCCTCTCTCAACACATTCACAAAGAGGGACATTTGGAGCAACACAAGATCAGCCCAAAGCCTCCTTAATGAGCACCTGCCGTGCACTGCTTCAGGCATCAACGTCTCCCAGCGGTCAGTGCTGGTCCAAAAGCACACATCTACCAGGCCTCTCCTTTGACTAAAGGTTTGAGACAAGAAGGAGAAATCCAAACACTCTCCTGTGGACTAAAAGACATTGGTTTCCTCTAACCACTGTCCCCTTCATATGTGGGACACATACACCCATCACATTCTTAACTCTGTTAGACTAGTGTGCTGTGAACGACTCTTCAAGGTACCCACTTTTGTATCCATTCCCCAAATCTTCTATAAAAAACTTAGCCATCCTTCAAGGCCCAATTCAGTGCCATCTGCTTTGTGACAATTTCTCAGATAAGTACAGTCAGAAGAACGTTTCTTGTCTCGTGTATTCCCAAAGAACGTCACCATAGCGTTGTCTTAGGCTACCTTCCATTATTGTGATCTGGGTACATGCCTATCTCCATCAATTAGGAATTAGCATTAGAGATCATCATCCATTTTTCCAGCTCTCAAGATGCTTAGCAAAGTCCCTGCCTGACACAGCTAGAACACAATAAATGTGGCTGAATTTGAAGTGTTAAAGGTATTTACCAAGAGACCACACGAGACACATGAATTCCTGTCCATCCATCCTCACCAGACCACTAAATAACATGTAATCTTCAACATGTTTCCCCAGTGAACCCATATATTTCAAGGTAAAATGAGAGTAATCAAGTGTCATTTCTTCCTCTCAGCAAAAGATGAAAAGAAAGAACTGATACTTGTGAAAAAGACTGGTTTAGGGCTAAAATGACTGCAACTTGTGAAGAAAAACCACTGGAGGGCGTAAGAGGGAAGAAACCTTTGACCCCACTGTTGGTGAATCCCATTCACACACCAGGAGCCGCTGGTGGGGAACACACCAGCATGCTGTCTTCCTGCTGTGTGTTGTAATTGAGGACAGGAGATGGGAACAGCACGGTACACATGTCGCAAGGAGCTTGTGCTGAGAGCCCAACAACATTTCCCTCACAGCTATCCTCTTCCCAAAAGCCACAAGCATGCACCCCAAAGACCCGCTTTCCCCCAATTTTCTCCCCAAGAGACCACCTCAAGGAAGTGTGTACTGACCTTTTCACACACAAATGAGACCTCCCTCCACCCTCTCCGTTCCCTCCATCAGTCTATTCTCACCTTCTCCTTCAAACATCTTAGTCACGTCCTCCCACAGGGGCGCCCCCTCCTTGGCCATCTTTGGATGGTGCAACTTCACCCAGGTGCTGGCCTCGGCGGGCAGGGTGATCAGGAGCCGCTGCAGCATGATGACTCCCAAGCGATTGGGCTGGTCCACTTCCGGTGAGGAAACTGCTAGAACCTCTCCTGAGAGGCTTCACAGCTGTGTGGTCCTCCTCTGATCACAATCCCCTGCCCTCAGGACTTTGGTGTGTCCCTGTAGCACCAGAACCCGGGGGCTCCTACAGGCTGATGTGACTTCAACAACTCTGAAAAACTGACTCCCCTCTTAAACTAAGTACCGCCTCCGTGGGAGGCAGCCAGCCAAGCAGGTTTGAGGGCATGCCTCTATATTCTTCTGGAGGAGCAAAAGGCAGGAGAGGAGGGATCCAGAAGGGTCGGTCAGACAGCGGGAACTCCAGAACTTGCAGAGACAATATTTAAAACTGCAAAAGATCCAAAAACAAAGATTTGGCATCAATGTGGGAATAAACATAATCAATGCTCTTGGATGTGGCTCATTCTCCCAGTCCCACACATCCATACACAAATAGCCAAAGATACACAAACATGCACAGACCGTGCCTTGACTCCCCTCTTTGTATGCTGCAGGCAACTTCTGCCTAGATACAGACTTGGGATTTAAGAGCGCAGGCTTTGAAATCAGACAGCCTGGGTTAGAATCCTGACCCTTGCACTTAAAAGCTCTAAGCCATTTCATCTTTCTGAGCTTCAGTTTCTTCATCTATAAAATGGGGATAATAATTGCACTTCATGGGGTTGCAACGTTGACTAATTGAGACAATGTCGAGCATACAGTAAACCCCTAATAGACATTATAAACTTTTTGCTTTAACACTGTATCATAGTGCTATCTTTTTAAGTTATTTTTAAAAGCAATTAGAGATCTAAATTTAAAGTTCATTTCAAGTATCTCAACTGACAGAATAATCACACAGCTGCATTTTCACATGGGCGAGCGGTGACAGACACGTCACCAGCCACGCAGATGCCCAGCAGCTGGTGAGTCCTTCTGACCCCTCTGTTAAGATGCATCCTGGTTTCAGAAATGTTAAAATAGGGGGAGAGAGGTATGTCTTCAAATGGAGGAAACATAGGACTTCCAATCCAACGAGGACTACACAGAACGGTTTGAACAGGCAAATCTGGAAACAGCCCAAATCCATCCTCTCGTCCAAGCCTCCGGCATCTGAGCAGCTGCCTCCCAGTGACCAGGTCCAGTGTAGGCGGGGCCCGAAGCACAGTCCTAGCTCCGTGGAAAGGGAGCCGGCCCAACTTTTTTAAGTTTGTGAGGAAAGGCTTATGGGCTCCTTTTTTTTTTTTTTTTTTTTTTTCTTCCCAGCTGTGACTGATCCAGAGAAAGGAGCTGCATCCTACACTGGATTGGAGCAGTGGAAAATACCCTGCCCCTGAATATATAAAAAGTCAATGTCCTGTTACAAAGTGAAGAAACTTTCGCATCTTGCTTATGGAACGGCTAATGCCCCAGAAGCTTCCTTTCGCAGATGCCCCTTCTCACTGCTCCCAGCCGCGCCTCCCTCGGACATGGAGACTGCAGACACACAGCGTGGCCTCCTACTCACCGGATCGGCCTCGAACGCTGCTAGGACCAGAGATGGGGGCGTGAGAGCGCCCTTTCTTGAAGCTTTCAGCTCCAGACGGTGTCTCTTTAGAGAAGAACTGGGTGGTAACTGATTTTGCTCTCTCCCAGCCTTTCAGAGACAGACCACATCCCCCACTCAACACAATGATGCTTCAAAAAACGCCCACCGTTCACGTAGGCTTGCTTCGGGAGCCCAGAGGACCCTCAGCCTGAGAAGTGGACGTGGGTGTTTTCCAAATTCCCAACGAGAGGCGGCCTCGGGCGGGGGCTGCGGCACCAGATCCACGCAGCCCCCCCCCCCCAGGTGGCCTTTCCCAGCAGCACCCCCGGGAGTGGAGCTCGGGGGGCCGCCCCGGGAGGGATGCCCTGACCCCGCTCCCCGCAGACCCAGGCGAGGATGCAGCCGGCCGGCGGCGGCCAGGCCCCCCGGGCGCCCCGCCTCCTGGTCCGCAGCCCGGCGTCTCCGGGCGCCTCAGTCCTCCCGACGCGCGTGGCCGCTGCCGCGCTGCCGGTCGTCCTAGCGCCGGCCCCCGTGGGCCTCGGGGTGCGGCCCACCCCCGCGGCCCCGCGGCTCCCGGCCCAGCGGCCGCGCGTCTTCCGGCGGGCTCGGCGCCCCGCGGCCCGCTCCGCCCCCGGCGGCCGCCCCAGCCCGCCCTCGCCGGGATGCAGGGCGCTGCCGAAAACCCGGCACCGGACGCGGCGGAACGCGCCCCTGGGCACGCGCACCCCCGGGGCTGCCCAGACCCAGGGGCCGCGGCCACCGGGGCGGACCGCCCTGTTTGCTGACTGGGGTCCCGGGGGACCACGTGGCCGGCCAGCGCTTCCGGTGGGGAAGCCCTTTCTCTGTCATTCATTCATTCATTCATTCACTGACAACTATCTTCCCAGTGCCTACCTCTGCACTCATTGTTACAGGCTCTGAGGATACAGCAGTGTTCAAAACGCAGGCCCGGCTTTCTGGGATCGTAATTCTGGCAAAATTAAATACTCGATAATTATAAACAGAAAATTAGATAGGTGATACCCCAGGTGACGGTAAGAGCTATGAGGAAAAAGGAAGCAGCCTGTGGAGATGGGGATAGAGGATGACTGGAGTTCCTCTTTCTGATCATAGTAGGCTGGGATATTTATATGAACCCATTTCAAAAAACAACAATAAAATTTAAAAATAAAAGTCTGGAATATCTATTTTTAATGTTCTCAAAGGAGTGTATTAGTTTGCTAGGGCTGCCATAACAAAACACCACCGACTCGGGGACTTAAACAAGAGAAATTTATTTTCTCACAGTTCTGGAGGCTAGAAGGCCAGGATCCGGGTCTCAGCAGGGTTAGTTTCTCCTGAGGCCTCTCTCCTTGCCTTGCAAATGACTACCTTTTCCTTGTGTCCTCACGTGGTTTTTCCCCTGTGTATTTGCATGA